GTGCATCCCAGTCCGGCTGTGCCTGAACTGGGAGGGACCTGCACCCCAAACCAGTGCTGTGCCCTGACATGGTTGGGCACCCTGCTCCAGCTGCACCCAGAGACAGGAGGGACCTGCACCCCGGACCGGCCACGCACCCCAAACCCACTGCACCCTGAACCAGAAGGGTCCTGTACCCCAATCCGGCTCCACCCTGTGCCCAGACCTATGCCCTGAACCTGCTGTGCACCCCAAAAAGGCTGCACCCTAAACCAGGAGGAACCTGCACCCCGTAACATCCACGCACCCTCCTCCTGCTGCTCCCTGAACTAGGAGGGACCTGCACCCCAAAAAGGCTGCACCCTAAACCAGGAGGAACCTACACCCCGTAACATCCACGCACCCTCCTCCTGCTGCTCCCTGAACTAGGAGGGACCTGCACCCCAAAAAGGCTGCTCCCTAAACCAGGAGGAACCTACACCCCATAACATCCACGCACCCTCCTCCTGCTGCTCCCTGAACCAGGAGGAACCTGCACCCCAAAGCATCCGTGTGCCAGCTCCGGCCGCGTCCTGGTGCGATGGATGACGCTCTGCCGCTGGAAGCGGAGCTGGAGCACCGGTGGCTACTCAACGCCTCCCTGAACGAGTCCTTCTCCAACCAGTTCGTGCAGCCCCCGTGGCAGGTGGCCCTGTGGGCCGTCGCCTACGCCCTCATCGTGGTGGTGTCGGTGGTGGGGAACGTGGTGGTGATGTGGATCATCCTGGCTCACAAGAGGATGCGCACCGTCACCAACTACTTCCTGGTGAACCTGGCTTTCGCCGAAGCCTCCATGTCCGCCTTCAACACGGTGGTGAACTTCACCTACGCCATCCACAACGAGTGGTACTACGGGCTGCTCTACTGCAAGTTTCACAACTTCTTCCCCATCGCCGCCGTCTTCGCCAGCATCTACTCCATGACGGCCATCGCCCTGGACAGGTGAGCTCCGAGCCTCCAACCCCAAAACCCTCCCCAAACCCTGGTCTGCATCCACCTGGGTGCGTGCAGGGCTCCTCTGAGCTCCGGGAGAACATTGCAATTAAAATAGAATCATAGAATCATAGAGTTGCCCAGGCCGGAAGGGACCTCCAAAGGCCATCTAGTCCAACCCCCCGCAGTCAGCAGGGACACCCCCAACTAGACCAGGTTGCCCAGGGCCTCGTCGAGCCTCTCCTTGAATATCTCCAGGGATGGGGCCTCAACCACCTCCCTGGGCAACCTGTTCCAGTGCTCCACCACCCTCACAGTGAAGAACCCTCTCCTCATCTCCAGTCTAAATCTGTTCCCCTCCAGCTTGAAGCCATTGCCCCTCGTCCTGTCACTGCAGGCCTTTCTAAACAGGCTCTCCCCAGCCTTCCTGTAGGCTCCCTTCAGGTACTGGAAGGCTGCTATTAGGTCTCCCCGGAGCCTCCTCTTCTCCAGGCTGAACAACCCCAGCTCCCTCAGCCTGTCCTCGGAGCAGAGGTGCTCCATCCCCCTGATCATCCTCGTGGCCCTCCTCTGGACCCGCTCCATCAGGTCCATGTAAAAATAAAAAGCTCGTTTTGGTAAAAGAGGGCTAAAAATAACCCCCTCTCCCCACCCTGGTTGCAGGTGGCTTTGGGAATCCTTTGTCAGCTCTGCAAAAGGAGCTCGAGGAAAGGCATTGTCACCCTCGTGCGTGTCGGTGGTGGGTCTCGGGTGTGCATTTGTAGCATCGCTGTCCTCTTCCTTCCCATCTCCTTGGCAGAGCCATCCTTTCCTTTCCTCAATCATTTAAACACAAACTCGTTATTTAGCCCAAAACGGCATCGCCTCATGACATAAAATAGATGTCTGTGTCGGACGTGGCCGCACTGAGCTCTTTGGTGGTGCTTGAGCTGGGTTGGGTTGGGAGCTGGTTGGTGCTTGATGGGTTGGGACCATCTAAGGATCCTCAGAGAGAAGCTCAGGCTGGGGAAAGGCATCTCGACCTGGCGAGCGTGCTGTCGCGTTGCGTGCCGCCGTGTGTCCCCGAGCAAACCCTCTCTGATTTCATTAGTGGGGGCCACGGGGGAGAGGAGGAGGGTGCCAGGGATTTCCCTCCTTCGGCTGCAGCCACCACAGCTCAGTTGGGGGTGGTTTTGTCCCCCTGATGGCTGGGGGCTGCTGCTGAAGAGACATCCTGCTGGTGTTTTGCCGCCATCAAAAGTTGGGGTGGGGTGGCACAGGGGGGACAGGGTGGCACAGGGGGGGACGCTGCCTTTTCCACTGCAGGGGATGAGGGACACAAAACACCCACGCACCGAGCACCTCCACCCCTCCTCCTCTCTTCTTTCCCCCTCCAAGAAATCTTCTATTTGATGGCACTGGTGAGGCCTCACCTCGAGTTCTGTGTTCACTTTTGGGCTCCTCACTACAGGAAAGACATTGAAGTCCTGGAGCGTGTCCAGAGGAGAGCCACCAAGCTGGGGAGGGGTCTGGAGAACAAGTCCTATGAGGAGAGGCTGAGGGAACTGGGCATGTTGAGTTTGGAGAAGAGGAGGCTGAGGGGAGAC